ACTAGGGCCAATTTAGACAGGAGCCAATTCACCTACCAGCATGTCTTTGGAGTGTGGGAGGAAAACGGACTACCCGGAGGACACCTACGCAAGCACAGGGAGGACATGCAAACTCCAGGCAGGTGGTGCTGTGGTTGAGATCCAAACCGATGACCCTAGTACTGCCAGGCGGAAGTGCTGACCATTTAGCCACTGTGCTGCTTTTAAATGCAAATGGACATTTTATTATTTGTTTGTGAAAACATATTTATACAATAAATGTTGCAGAATGAAACTTCTCTTTGGTTTACATTAGTACTCTTGAGTCATTACTGAGTGGAAAGGAGGACATTATCCTGGGGTGCCCTGGATGGTGGAGCTTCAGGGGAAGTAGAGATCATTTCTGATTTAAGTGCAGCATAAGTTTGGTCAGCAGGTCATCTGTGATTTTTAAATATTAAGTTTGGAAATGAGGCAAGTGTTTTACTGTAAAATTAACAACTTTGTCTTTGATAAATTTAGTTTTATAATTTTCTTAGGTGAAGATTGCTTGAAATAAAAAAAAAAATCCACAATAAGATTTTATGTGTTTGGTGTATTTAGTTTAATTTAGTGTTCCTTAAATTTGTGTAATTTTTCCTTTTTTATGTGTATTTGATTATTTGTGCGATGTTGCTTCTTCAGTTGGTCTGTTTTTCTTAACGTGAAAAGTAATAATATAATAATGAGACAAATGCTTTGTTGGCACAAGAACATGTCCATGATAGCTGAAATGAGCTTCTATTACCCTCATAAACAATTTAAAGCAGTAATAAACCCAAAAGCAAACATTTATTATATTGCAGCTTACCTAATCCTAGATGTGATGGCTGCCTTTGTTTTCTTTTTTAGTCTGTCTTTCTTTCTTCTATTTTCATCTGTTGATCCAGCCAGTAAGTCTGTTGTTTTTCAAAAGAACAAGCCCTCTTCTAGTTGTAGCAGTTACAGCGATGAGACAAACCATTTAACACTGGCAGGGATGCATACAATGATCAGTTTTTATTTATTTATGTAAAACCTTTATCCTAAAAGGAAAAAAACTGTATGCTATAACTGATTATAAAGTGTTAGCTGGAGCATGGCTTTATTTTGTTAGTGTATTTAAATCTGCTAATACATTTAACACTCCACTGTCCCCAGCCTGACTGAATGCTGCTGTCTGCTGTGTCCCCTGTGATCCTTCATCCAGAGCGGAGAAAGTGCAAATCATATGTGAATTCTGTATGGTGCGATTTGAGCCATGCAAATTCCGAACCGCATCAGTGTGATCCCAGGTTAATACAGGAGGTGTGCTACTGGCTAGATCAGCAGGTGAAAACAGAGGGAAAAAAGTAAAAAAAAAAAAAACTAATGCAGCCACCACATCTAATGATTGGTAAGCTGCACTATATAAAATTTTTGTTTTTAGGTTTAATATCACTTTAAAATCATTTCACTATAAAGTATGCAGTAAAGCAATGTGCTCCAAAATGAAAAAAAAAATAGAGTGGCGTGCAGCCTGCCAGTGACAAGGTTACCCAGAAATGGTTGTCCTTCTCCGCCTTCCATATGACAGCTGCGGTGATTGTGACTGGCACAGCCTCTGTCACTTGTCTAACACTCCACATCTCTCCACAACATCGACAAATCTGCTCTCTAACATGCCACTGCTGTCCTTCCAGCTCTCAGCCCTGGTTGTCATTAGGGCTTAACAGCAGGCAATACAATTTGGATAATTTCACTGATATTGTTGACAGTAATCTAAGCAACTGCACAATTTTTCCCAGATTCCCTTGTTAACACAAATACCATCTGAAAGTGGAAGTGAAGTGGAACTGGAAATGGAAATGGATCATTCTATGCAATTCTGATTTGAAGTACACAGAAAATTCACCAAGGAATGGCTCAAAAAGAAGAAATGGAGGGTTATAGATTGGCCTGGTCAAAGCCTTGATTTAAATCCCAATGAAATGTTGTGATGGGATATGAAATGGACCGTGTTGAAAAATGCATTTATTATCTGAAGTATATTTGTTTAAGGTACTTGTATAGCGCCATCAGTTTATGCAGCACTTTACATATATATTGTACATTTACATCAGTCCCTAACCCTCAAGGAGTATACAATCAAAGCTTATATACACAGGCCAATTTAAACAGGATCCAATGAACCTACAAGCATACCTTAGTAGCGTGGGAGGAAACCAGAGTACCCAGAGGAAACCCACACAGGCAGAACATGCAAACTCCAGGCAGGTGGTGCTGTGGTTGGGATTTGAACCAACAACCCTAGTACTGCTAGGCAGAAGTGCTATACATTTAGCCACTGTGCTACCAGCAAACCTGCCAAGGGATGGCTCAAAAAGAGGAAAAGAGGGTTAGGAATCGTACATATGTGTGACAGGGACTGACACTCCTCAGAAAAGCAATCCACACTTGAACAGCTTTTCAGAGGTGTTTGACAGGTGATGAGGAAGTGATATGTCACCTCCTCACTGCCTGATTTGACCCTATGATTGTAAACAGAAAAAAATGCAGCGCTAATTAAAAAGCATATAAACGTCAGAAATAAAAGTCCATATAAGTCCTCAAATGAATGAAACAAATTTCAAGAGAAGATTCTGATCTCATGAGCCATCATCATACACCTGAAAAAAAGAGCCCCTTACCGGACACTTTGACCGCATAACACCGGTCAGTAGGCACAGTGTGATAAGGTATCAGTATGGCAGGTAATCTTCAATAGAAATCCTCTCACAGATATATTATTATTATACAGGATTTATATAGCGCCAACAGTTCGCTCAGCGCTGTACATTATAATGGGAGACAATACACGAGACAGTACAGTAACACTACAATGCGATACACGAGGGGTTCGAGGGCCCTGCTCCTTGGAGCTTACAATCTAGCAGGGAGGGTATAGTGGTACGGGAGGAATAGCTGTGGGGGATGGAGTGGTAGGAAGAGTGGAGGAGATCGGCAATTAGCTGAGGGCGGGGTAGGCTTCCCTGAAGAGATGGGTTTTCAGGGTGCGCCTAAAGGAGAGGAGAGTAGGTGATAGTCTGATGGATTGGGGTAGGGAGTTCCAGAGGATGGGGGAAGCCCTGGAGAAGTCCTGGAGATGGGCATGGGAGAAGGAGACCAGGGAACTAGAGAGTAGGAGGTCTTGTGAGGAGCGGAGAGTATGGTTTGGGTGGTATTTGGATATCAGGTTGGTGATGTCGTTTGGGGCAGTATTATGAACAGCTTTATATGTCAGTGTTAGTGTTTTGAATTTTATCCGTTGGGCAATCGGAAGCCAGTGGAGGGATTGGCAGAGGGGGGGTGGCAGATACGGAGCAGTTAGTAAGGTGGATGAGTCTGGCCGCAGTATTCAGGATAGACTGAAGTGGGGATAGCCTGCGATGAGGTAAGCCGGTGAGGAGGGAGTTACAGTAGTCAAGGCGTGATATGATAAGGGAGTGAATGAGTTGCTTAGTGGTTTCTGGGGTTAGGAACGGTCGTATCTTGGAGATGTTGTGGAGGTGAAGTCTACATTAGTTTGTCAGTGATTGGACCTGGGGCTGGAAAGACAGATTAGAGTCTAGGATTACACCTAGTACTCTGGCTTGCGGGGTGGGACTGATGGTGGCGTTGTTGGTCGTGATGGGGAAGTCGGGGGGGGGGGGGGGGGGGAAGCGGGCTGGGGGGAAGACTAGGAACTCGGTTTTGGAAAGGTTTAGTTTGAGGAAGTGGGGTGACATCCAATCCCATATGTCGTTCAGTAGGCTAGTGATTTGGGCGGAGACTGAAGGTGTGAGGCAAGGGGTAGAGAGATAGATTTTTGTGTCGTCGGCATGGAGATTGTAGTTTGAAGCCGTGGGAGTGTATCAGTTGGCCAAGGGAGGAGGTGTAGATGGAGAAGAGAAGGGGCCCCAGGACAGAACCTTGAGGGACCCCTACAGAGAGGGGGAGTGAGGGGGAGGTGGCAACGTTATAGGTAACACTGAAGGAGCGCTGTGATAGATAGGAAGAGAGCCAGGAGAGAGCGGAGTCTCTGAGGCCTAGAGAGTGGAGTTTTTTTATATAGGATGGTTCCTCTGCTTTAAAGACCTCCAAAGCTTGAAGAAACTTCCATCCAATATTCAAATAAAGAATAAAGAACAAAATCAACTCATAGTGCAGTAATTCATTAAAGTTGTGTCAGATTTACTACAAGATCCACGTACATCAAAAATTTTAAATAACCAGCACTGAAATGAAATTGTTTCAAACCAAAAACATGGCCTCCGTTCCTCCAGAATGCAGTGACGTTACATGCTGAGGCTACAACCAACGCGTTTCGTCATCAGAAAGATGTCATCATTGACCGGTGTTATAAGTGTCCGTAAAAGGGCTCATTTTTTCGGGTGTATGGTGACGGCTCATGAGATCAGAATCTTCTCTTGCAATTTGTTTCATTCATTTGAGGACTTATATGGACTTTTCTTTTATATGGACTGACATTTGTATGCTTTTTTAACCACATGCCACCCAGCCACTGTAGAAATACGGCGGCAGGGCGGCACGGCTGGGCAAAAGCACGTTTTAAAACATGTGTTTTGTAAACAGGTAGGGGGCACGTGCGAGGCGCGCCGCCGCCCTACCTGTCCCGCCGATCACAGCCGCGGATGTCAGTCGCCAAGTCACAGCCGGCTGTTACTGGCTATGTCCCGGCCATTGGCGACAATCGCTGACAGAGAGCACAGCTGCAGTAAGTGTGCTTTCTGTCACTTCCCTGACAGCTCCAGGACACGCTGATCGAGACAGAAGAGTTTCTCTCTCCCGATCAGCGATGTTCCCTGCAGTACACGCCCCCAGTAAAACACTCCCCTCATACAGTTAACCCTTCCCTGAATAATAAACTTAACCCCTTCCTCCCCAGTGCCATTAGCACAGTGTCAGTGTTTTTTTTTTTTTGCACTGATCACTGTATTGGTGTCACTGGGGATGTCAGTGACCCCAAGTCAGTACCCCCCAATGTCAGAATGTCCGCCGCAGTCCTGCCATAAGTCCCTGATCGTCGCCATTATTAGTATAAAAAAAAACCTAAAAATCCCAGTATCTTTCCTGCCATTTGTAAACGCTATAACTTTCACGTCAACCAATTAATTTACACGTATTGGGTTTTTTTTTAGCAAAGACATGTCGCAGAATGCATTTTGGCAGAAATTTATGACTAAATTTGATTTTTAAATTTTTTTTTACTGGACATGTTTTATAGCAAAAAGTCCAAAATATTGTTTTTTTCCCTCAAAATTGTCAGGCTTTCTTTTTTATAGCGCAAAAAATAAAAACTGCACAGGCGATCAAATACCACCGAAAGAAAGCTCAATTTGTGGGAAAAAAAAGGATGTAAATTTCATTTATGTACTGTATTGCATGACCGCGCTGTATAGCAGAAAATGGCGTAAATTGCAGTATCTATACAATAGTTTGTAGAAGCTATAACTTTCACACAAAGCAATCAATATACACTTATTGGGATTTTTTTTACCAAAAACATGGAGCAGAATACATTTTGGCCTAAATTTATAACCAACTTTGAGTTTACTATAAATTTTTTTTAGCTGAAAGTAAAAAATATTGTTTTTCTTCAAAATATTTGGCCTTTTTTTGTTTATAGCGTGAAAAATAAAAAGCGCACAGGTGATCAAATACCACCAAAAGAAAGCTCTATTTGTGTGAAAAAAAGGACGTAAATTTAGTTTGGATGCAGCATTGCATGACCGCGCAATTATCAGTTGAATTAGTGCAGCGCCGAGTAGCAAAAAGAGGCCTGGTAAATCCTCCGGAGGTCAAGTGGTTAAATAGCGCTGCATTTTATCTGTTTACATTTGCAATATCACCTTTTATGTGCAAGCTGCTTTTTTTGTTTTTACTGTATTTCTGATTTGGAGTGTGGTTACATCTAAGAGCAGGTGTTGTGTTTTATATTTGACCCTATGATTGCTGTACTACCGCACCACAATTGCATGCATTGCACGCGGTTATGGTGCAGCTGCAGCACAGCCCCATGCAACTGCATTAGTCATAGTTAGTGGAGGCACCGCCTGCTGAAAGTGACCTGCTGCTAAAAAAATTTTTGCGACTGCAGAATGTGTACAGCCATGAGCAGCTGTATGTTAGTAGGCTGGCAGCTGGAAGTGGTAATACCGTGGCTCAACCACCACCACTTGCCCTCCGGAAGATTTAGCCCCCTTCCTGACCAGGATATTTTTTGCAATATGGCGCTGCGTTACTTTAACTGACAATTGCGCAGTCATGCAACACTGCACCCAAATTAAATTTAGGTCCTTTTTCCCACAAATAGAGCTTTCTTTCAGTGGTATTTGATCACCTGGGCGGTTTTCATTTTTTTGTGTTATAAAAAAAAAAGACAGACATGTTTGAAGAAAAAACTATATTTTTGACTTTGCTATAAAACATATCCAATAAAATTTTTTTAAACATGTCTTCATAAATTTATGCCAAAATGTATTCTGCTACATGTCTTTGCTAAACAAAATCCCAATACGTGTAAATTAATTGGTTTACGTGAAAGTTATAGTGTTTACAAATGGCGCTATATATACTGGAATTTTTTTTTTTTTTATACTATTAATGGTGGCAATCAGTGACTTATAGTGGGACTGCGGCGAGCATTCTGACACTGGGTGGTAACTGACTGCTAACGACATCCCCAGTGACACTAATACAGTGATCAGTGCTAATAAAAAGCACTGACACTATACTAATGACACTGGGCAGGAAGGGGTTAACATCTGGGGAGATCAAAGGGTTAACAGTGTGTTTTATTGTGTGCTGTGTTTTACTAGGGAGGCATGCTGCTGTGCAGAGAGATACAAAACAGCATGTCCATGTTGACAGCAGAGATACCTGTGTAGTTCACACACAGGTTACCCCCCTGTCATCTTTCCCCGACGGTCGCTGAGTGCCAGCCTGTAATCACAGTCTTGGACCCGGTGATTGACATAGCAGCGCTGGTTGGGTGGCGTGCACGCACCCCCTACCCGGTAATGCAAATCACATATATATAGATGATTTTGTGCAGCCCTGCCACCCTGCAGCAGTATTTCTGCTATAGGGCGGAGGGCAAGTGGTTAAATGCCCCCCTGGCCTCCTGTGTAAAGAAGCCTTAAAGTGTCACTAAACCCAGGACCCTTCATTCACTATATCTGGTCTCCCACAGTGCACAGAACAAAAATGCAATTATTTTAGTAAATATAAACTTCTAAATACCTTTTCTCATCAGAAGTATATAGCTTCTATCAGTGTCTAGCAGAGCACTGGTTAAAGCTTGTAGGAGGAGTTTTCATTCCTCTATGACTGTCCTATGAGGCTGCATAACCCCTGACACTTTGTCTGGACAGCACTGAGGGGCCCTGTGCTGATCACATGCACCCTCCCAAAGAAAAAAAAACTCTTTAGCCATACACACTAAACTGAGCATGTCCAAAATGACTCCTAGAGCTCTGTACTATCAGCAGATGGATTGGGGACAATAGAAGGGGATGATCAGAGAAGAGGGGATCAAACCGCCTTTTTGCACAAGGGAGGTTTAACCCTCTAGGTTCCCCATTGAGTATAACAAGCATGCATTACTGCATATACAGACGGATTTTGCTGTTGTGGGTTTAGTAACACTATAAAGTCTGGTCATAACCATGATAATGCCGTAAAAGAGGAAACATATAGGTTTGAAAATGTTCAATTTAATCAGGTATCTTGTATAAAATAGAAAAAGAAAATCATTTGAATGAAACGTTATAGGGACTTATCTACAGTATGTTGAGTCATAATTAAGGCAAAAAGATAATTAAATAAACATTTCCAAATATGATTTAATATAATAGTTTGGCCAGCATTAAAGAGGAAGACCTTGTTCAGACATGGAGCAGCACTTGCTACTGCTCTGAAAGCAATTGACAGTGGATTGCTTTTCAGAGGGCAGTTGAACCTGCATCTGGGACCTGTTTTAACCCACAATGCATGCAGTCACTGGGAGGTTGCTGCCTAACCCCATTCACTTGAATGCTTCTTGGTGGTACTGCCCGCCAAACGTGACATTAGGTATATTTTTTTTGGGGAGGAACCAAAGCATCATCATGGCTGTGGCATGTGTACAGCCCGGAGCAGCCGCATGTCCTTTTTTGGATGGGCAATTGGGGGGGGGGGGCAAAAAAATCATGGTTCAATTGCCTGTTTTTCGCACCCCCCTGGCCACCCACATAATTGGGCCCTAGCTTGCCAATCAAATGTTGCTCCCCTTAGCCCTGATGAGCCCAGTATGCATTTTGTACCATATCACTTCTTGAATGATATTCTTTTTTCTATGCGGTCACCGAACCAAAAAAGTGCAGCCACTTCAACTCGCTCTCCTCTCTCTCTGTCACTTGACACTTGACAACTCCAGGAGCTATAGATGCCAGTGAGATGATGTCAACCCATAGCCGGGACAAGGGTTGGGTAGGAGGGGCTGCTGCCCTGGGTACTGTGGTATCATGTGAGGTGAGGCGGCACTGCGAGGATATTGGGGGGAGGAGATTTGTGTTGGGAGGAAGAATATGGGGGCAGCATGGAGTAAGATTTGTTCTAGGAAGGGACATTTGGGCAGGGGGGGTGATGGTAGTGGTAATTTGGGGGATTTGTTTTGGGGGGGTGGGGGGAGAGGATTCAGTGCTAGGAGGGAGGATTTGGGGGGTTTGTGGTATATGGGGGAGGGTTTGTGCTAGGAGGGGAAATTTTTTTCGGGGTGGAATTTGTGCTTGTAGGGATACATGTGTGGTATTTGTGCTAGGATGGGGGACTGAAGGGGATTTGTGCTGGGAGGAGGGGTCTGGAGTGGGGGAGAGAGAGTGATTTTTTGGGGGGAGACTTGTGCTGGGGGAATTAGGGGAAAGGGAGAGAATTTGAGCAAGGAGGGGGGGATGGGGGGCAAATTTATACATGGAGAAGGTTGAATTTTTGGGGGTAAGCATGCTAATTAGTACTGATTTTTTTTATCTTGGGGGGGGGGGTTGCTGACACATATTGCTTATACCTCTTGGGGGGGGGGGGGGCGCAGTTTGGTATGTTCTCCCTGGGCTCTAGATGACCTTGACTCGGGACTGGCGACAGCTCCCTAATATTTAGCACCAATGTCAGCCCTGACTACACAGAAGACACTGCTCCTACACTGATTACCGCTGGGTTTTGCGTCCCATGCTGAGCGGCTGCCCCTCTGCTTTGTGAATGCGAGGCGCTAGACGCAAGATACCATTTATTTCCAAGATAAAAGTAGGTAATACTCACAAATGGTAGAGAACACAACATGCTCATCACAAATCTCCGAAAGGACGACCAGAATTGATGTGCACACCTCCAGATCAACTAGGAAAATGTCACACAGTCCTACAGACACTAATGTGTTTCAGGGGTGACCCCTCTTTATTTATTTCAGGTACTTATATAGCGCCGTCAATTTACACAGCGCTTTACATATATATTGTACATTCACATCAGTCCCTAATCCTGAAGGGGTGTACAATCTGAGGTCCCTAACTCACATTCATACATATACTAGGGCCAATTTGGACAGGATCCAATTAACCTACTAGCCTGTCTTTGGAGTGTGGGAGGAAACCAGAGGAAACCCACACAGGAAGAACATGCAAACTCCAGGCAGGTGGTGCCGTGGTTGGGATTCAAACCAATGACCCTAGTACTAGAAGGCAGAAGTGCTAACCACTTGGCCACTGTGCTGCCCTATCTTTATCAGAAATGTGTTAGCATCTGTAAGACATCTTCCTAGTGGATCTGGAGGCATGCACAGGGGTTCTGGTTGTTCTTTCAGAGATTTGTGATGATTTGTTGTGTTGTTGTGTTCTACTGTTTTGTGAGTATATTACACACTTTTACCTTGGAAATAAATAGTGTCTCAGTTAATGTACAATACCCTCTTTTGTTCTTTTACATATAGGGGGAGATTTACTAAAGCTGGAGCACACAATCTGGTACAACTGTGCACAGTAGCCAATC